CCGACCTGCAGCACCTGAGCTAACACAGGGGGGGAAAAATGTCCGATACTGACTTGATATGGGCGTTGCAGACTGGAGACCTGGAAGAGGTCAAAACCAAGCTGGTAACGGTAAGGAAAATGTTATTTATTTGCAGCTGTGTGCATCGATTTGAAACAATAATCCGGCTGCTTGGCTCAAAGGTAGATAAGCTACTAGCCTAGCCGGGCGAGCTAACGGTAACTGGAGTTGGGCAATGTTACAGTTTGACAATAATTGCGAGATATTGGAGCTTGTTTTTGTACATGTAACACTTAATTATGTTTAATTAATGAGCTTTAACTCGGATTGAATTCACCACGAGTCATTTAAAAGGTTTTAAAGGAGTGCTTACTGTGCAGGCTAATGCAGCACAGCTAGGTAGCCGCATGCTGCTTTTATTATTATTCAGGGTGTTTGTGTGTTTGTGTGTTTGTGTTCTCACCGCATGTCAGTCTGATTTAGGATAGGAAACTTGAAGGTGATGGGGTTGGCTTTGGTTCAGGAACATGTTGGAGTCGATTAGGAAGCGATTTCGTGTCCTCTGTCCACAGGAAGCAACCTGTTGGTAAAGGTAGACACCGAGCTACCACCAGCTGTCAATCACCTGCACGTCACTCAGGCTTTTAATGTTTCCACTTCATGCTTTATTGATTATTTATTTCAGATGTTGGTTAAAAAAAAAAGGCCCTTTCTTAGCCTGCTGTGGAACAAGTTTAGCTATATGTTTTGGAGATAAAGCACCAGGCCTGCAGCAAACATTCAATTCAAAAAAACTTTATTAGTCCCCAATTCAAAGGCACACACAGCAGTAAGGACAGGATAATACTTTATTGATCCCCATGTTAGTATTCATACAGCTCTGGTTGTTTATTCCTGATGTTTCTTATCCATCATTGCACAGACAAGAAGCTCAAAAATACACATTAAACAGAATATATGAGGTAAATACAAATAAAAACAGGGGCTGTATACAAGTACAAAAACGAATGATTAAGTTAACCGGGGGGTATTGAGATTTAGTATTTGCAGAGAATGACACGATAAAGTGACTTGGTATGATAAATTAACACCAGTGGAAGTACGAAACATGTTAACCTAAATATAAAGTGTCAGTTTAAATACAACTTAAAGCTTAAACTTAACTTAAAAATACAAAATATAAAAAGAGTAGATATGAGTGGACAGTGATCGGACTAACAGATGTAAACGAGAAATAAATAAACTTCATATATATATACTGTTCTGTACCTTATGCCTACACTGTGTGTATGTACTGTATAGTGTGTAGGCATTTATAAGGCGCATATGGACTTGAGTTTATATAGCGCTTTTCTAGTCTTCCAACCTCATTGAAATGTACTTTGTTGTAACTTTTGTACACATAGGGGCGTCCATGGGTATAGATGTGAGACACCACATGTCACACCACCACATGTCACACCCACCCACCCACACTGATGGTAGTGATGATCGCTATGTAGTATCATCCATCAGACGTAACTAATCCCATTCATACACCACCACCGAAGCAGCGGGGGCAATTTGGGGTTCTTGCCCAAGGACACATCGGACATGTTGCTCAGCTGGGGATCAAACCCTCGACCTTCCCGGTTCCGCCCATGCATATGTGTGCATGGGTGTACACAGCTCTACCTTTACATGTATGTTATTGCAGAGATTTTCCTTTCTTTCTTTTTTCTTTTTTTCTCTCTTCAGATTTTTTCTGATTGTGTAATATTGTTCTGGGTGGTGGGTGGCTAGGCTTGGGGGAGCATTAAGTGTGTGTGTGTTTGTGGTGTGGGTGTCTCTGTGTTTAAATGTTTGGTATTATGTTTTGGATTTACCTTTTATTTTTATTTTGTATTATGATGATTAATTTATGTTTTGTAAGGACCCCCTTGAAAATGAGAGCTGGAGGCGCGGCTATAGCAAATCCCCAGATACCCTCCATGCTAGCCATAATAACCTTTTTTGGAAAAGGCTGGAAGTGTGTTTGCTTAAACTCCTAAGTGCCTGTTATGCCACTCTGTATTTCCCAACATAGCTTAAAAGTTCCCCCTTTTTTTCTATAGAGAAGCTTTTGTTTACACCTCTGCTGAAAAGCCATTGGGGTCAACAAGGAAGTGAGTTATCGTATCAAAAACTATGACCATCGGAGTTCTTTCAACTTTATGTTTCCAAATACACAAAGACACTCAGGATCCTGTTTGTGTATGTGTGTGTATATTTCAGCCTGTGTGTGTGTGTGTTCATGACTTACAGAGTGTAGAAACTGAAATCTCCTCTTGCAGGGATCAATAAAAGTAAATCTTAATCTTAAAGCAGGAGTCACAATTTCCGGCCAGCTCCCTGGTCAATTTTTGGGGTGAAGTCGGGGTAATGTGAGAAAGCAGCAGGAAAAATTCAGGAAAACTTACAAGCAAGCCAGGGTAAAGTCGTGACCAGTGCAATCTCAGTGAGCGTAATAAACAGCTTTAAAGTGTTTCCTTATGTTCTCCTCCGCTCTCTCCTGATATACCGCAAATATGTCTGACTACAAGTAGCATTGATATTAAGGCAGAAATTGTCATTATAGCATCAAACTCTGTTGCTATGTCAGGCATTATCTTGTTGTTCTTTTATGTCATGACCTGCCTCTTGAGAAGACCCCCCCCCCCCACCCCCCATACCACCCCACTGTCAAGTGCATTTTTGAACAAGCAACTCATAAAGAGGGGGTGGTTCTGCTTTATTGTCCTATGCTGATGACATCCCTGAGCATACATTGAATTACAGATATCTTATCTTGTGCTAATATGAAATATTGTAATAGACATTATCTTTTTGTTGTGCTAGTTTACTTTTCCCCTTTTATATTTACCTCCCAGCTTTATTGCGTTTGCCGTAGTTGCCTCAGGGGAGCCAGACAGCCAAGGTAGCTCTGCCATCCCCAGATCAGGTCTTTAGTAACTAGATTCTCCTTTTATTTAACAACAGTGTTTCAACAAATTCTATAACAATAATTCAGTTTTGACAGCCAATTTTTGGAGTGAATAACAGCTTCTGTTCTCACTTTCCTTGAGAGGATAAGACCATGAAGTGTCAGAAAAGACTTAACTGGGTGCTACAGCTGTGGTTGATTTGAAGGTTTTCTCACCAGAAGGGCCCCTAAGCACATCCTCAGACGTGCGTGTGTGGTTAGGGAACTTAGGACTGTGGTGAGTGTCTGTTATTTTTGGCTGCAAAGTTTCAGTCTGTGACTCTTAGGGTAGAACGGAAGCTTCCGTTTTAAAGAAAAGCTGCCCTCAGCTCCTCCTTTTTAAGGCAGATTATTGGTTTGTAACAGCAATGTCGTTATTTATTTCAGCGCCGCTAACATGCCATCTTTTTTCCTCTGCAGGCTGAAGATGTAAACCGGACCCTGAACGGTGGTAGGAAGCCCCTGCACTACGCTGCAGACTACAATCAGACAGAAGTGGTGTTGTTCCTCCTTTCTAAGGGAGCAGATATCAATGTAAGAGTCGCAACATCCAGCTCCTATCACAATCTCTTTGCATTCATTTGCCTACTGGCTTTAAATGACCATAAAGTAAAACAGTGCCTGTATGTGCTTCCTTTTCCTCGTCAAATGTTATTGTTTAAACTGCTTGATTTGATTCCTATTTATGTTATCAGTTTTTGCATTTCAGTGTTTTCATTGGGCCCCATGCGCAGCGCTGACATTGGCATTGTTTGAACTGAAGTACTATGGCTGTTCTAACCAGTTTATTATGAGCTATTTCAGCCGTTGTCCTTTCTCTCATTCAACAATTGTCTCAGCTTGCCAGACCACACATTAAGCCTGATTGGCCCCCTGAGCTTCAATAGTCTCTTCTGATGTTGTTGTACTGGATTGATCCATATCCACTTAAAGGGCACTTAGCCACCCAACTGTATTGACATCTGAACATTGAAGCTCTTTTTTAATTTGCAGCTTTTTTATTCATTTTTATTTTTTAAAGGTCTCCCACATCTACTGTGTCATCAGTTGAATTTTATGTGAAAAGCAGTGTTGATCTTTGAACCTGGGCACAAGTAGAACCAAAGCAGGAAGCCAATCTCTGTGAAAACTGAGCTTGAAAAATAATTTACATATCAACATGCAAGATCTTGATGGTTGATTTCATTTCGTCAAAAATAGAGACGGGTGCATGCTGTTAAGGCACCCACACATAAGCAATGTGCCGTTCATCTCCTTGACTAATTGAGCTCACAACAACTTTTCATCATAGCATCGTGGTGTTTTCTTTTTCGTCTTTTCTCATGCCTTTTTCCGACCGTTCCCCCCCTACAGGCTACAGACAGGCACGGGTTCACTCCATTGCTCTGCGCCTGTTACGAGAGTAACGTCGCCTGTGTCAAGGTCCTGCTAGAAAAGGTTAGTACTTTGCATCTACATCTGTACACAGAGGTGGCCTCTTGTTCTTCAGCAACCAGTGCATGCTGATGTGTCAGAGCCTGTGCTGATGAGGTAACTCACCGGACAAAAGGACCTTTAACGCAGCCCCGTGTGTGCCGTGCTGGAATGTTCATGGAGCACATCACTCAGTGTTGCAGCTGTTCTCTTGTTTTGTGTCTGTGTTATTGAGCAGTTTCATTCACACATGCCTAGGCCTTTCCTCCATCTATATCTGCACCATCCTTCACCCTTTCCTCCCTCAGTTGTTTAGCTCTCGTCCCATTTGAATGCTACCTCTGTCAGACAGATAGATGTGGACGTCTGCACACAGAGTCACAGCTGAGACGAGAGAGACAACATAGAGGCAGACACAGCTGTTACACACTGAAAAAGTGCAGCTGAATAACAAGCTTTCTATAAATGAATGTCCAATCAAACCAATGTCATGCAGCAGGAGGATTTTTGCTTCTCCATCATATTTAAATATAAATCCTCGCTTGAAGGTGTTGGAGCTCATTTCTGGAAAGCCCATACGTTTCTCTTTGTTTATGTCTTTCCTGATGTTCAGGCACGCCAATCATTTACAAACAAATTACAGATTTCGTCTAGACTGCTGGAGTTTTTTTTCACCTCTGGACAAATAAGCCAGACTGCAGTGGTATTGATGCCCATGTGCTCAGTTAATTTTACACACATGGTGGCCAGAATAGCAACCCGTCATTGAAAATACCACAAAGACAGACAAAACAAAAACAAAACAAAGACCATTTTGAACTTGAGGGTCATGCTTTCCACTCTGATGCATCACTTTTTCTTTTGACAACACTTAAAGCATTTTAGTAACCGAGGAGATCAATTTCTGAAATCATGAAAGTGGAATGTTTTACCGTTCTTGTTTAATGTAGGATTCCAGCTGTTCAGAACGATCCGAGTTTCCTTTATCTCAGTTAACACTTCACAATGTGCCTCGCATTTTTTTAAATGATTGACAAGTCAGATCTGCAGGAAGGCCAGTTTCTCACCTTGACTCTTCTACCGCAGAGCCATGCTTTTGTAATGTGTGCAGAATGTGATTTGGCACTGTCTCACTAAAATAAGCAAAGCCTTTCCTGAAAATTAAGTCGTGTATTTAGCAGTTTATGCTGCTCCAAATCCTGTTTGGGGTAATGGGGTCTTCACATATGCCATGTGCACTTGTGCATCCCCCTACCATCATGGATGCTGGCTTTTGAACAATGCACTGATAACAAGCCAGAGGGTTCCTCTCCTCTGTAGTCAAGAGATCTTGGTATCTTAAATTGAATTAAAGGACAAGTTTGTGTTTTAAAATATAAAGCTGAATGATATTGATATTATATAACTTGCAGGGTGCAGTAATGCAAAGAAGGTTAGCTCAGTGATAAACTCATGGAACAAGCTGAACACCAGTATAGGACATAACTTTTAGGGCAGGATCCCAAATGTTTATGAGATTGAGAGCTAGATATTCAAAGGCTGGCAGTGAGTGAGAAGCTGTCTGTTCCCAGCCAAGCTTAATGAGCCAGGGTAAATGGAACGCTCCTCTACATACAGAGTCGTTTCACTGTGGCATCATCTTGGCTCAACAAAAGTAATGGAAGGAGGGGGGGGGATTCACAAGCTACGTCCCACTAACGATTTGGGAAGTCAATTTTTCTCTATACTGTCACATATGTCCCATTCAGGCAAACTTTTCAATCGATCAACAGTTCAAACCTCATTTTGCAGAAGGAATTTGAAAAGAGGAAACCATAATCTATGTGTGGGAAACACTGGTATTCAGTTAGAGAGACACTTAATGCGGTACTCCACTGCTAACTTATTCCTGTTGGCATCGGCTGTATTAATCCGCCACTTTCATCAACACTACAGCACGCCTCAGCCCTCGCATCCAGAAGCCAACAGTCTAGTAAGCAATTGGCCAGCAGCTGGCCGGCAGCTGGCTACTGCTGTCAGCTGGCCGTCAGATCTGTTGGCGCCGAGATACACGGAAAGAAGCAGCCCGTGCCAACAGGAAGAAGATAGCAGTTTACTTCTCTGTAACTTCCCTCCTCTGAAAGTTGCAAGCGGGATGTTGGCAAGCATGGACAGGCACATTGTTTAGACTTCTACTTTTACACAGAACTATTGTTTGGTTGCCTGTACTGTTTGTGTCAGAGGCTTTAGGGTAAAAAATGTATTGTCTGTAAGCTCGGAACCTAATGTACTTTTTCAGCTCTTAACATTTATCTAAAAAACATGGTACATACAATTATTCCTTGGTTGTCTCATTTGGGTAATGCCTCTGCCTTTTATTGGAGGTAGGTCTACTCTAAATTAGGAGGAGTTTGAGTATGAGTTTTTTGTAATATCAATTCTGAAAAAAACCATTAGAAATTGGATTTAAAACCAGCGTCTCTTTTATTGAGTCTTCATTATTGGCTGCAGTCATCTCCTTTTATTTCCCCCGGCACCAGTCACATATTCACAGCCACAGCTCATCGTCCTGAAAGTCACAATCTCTTCTGCACGTGGAATAGGCAGATATGCAAGTAGCACCTCTGCATTGGATATTAAAGCCCCCTGGGTGGTCCTTAAAAAAAAAGCCTTTGTCTGTGGTATCTTATGAGGCAAGACATATGGCCGTAGCTCCTCTGAACAGGGATTACAGTGGAAGGCAGAGATATGAGCCAACCCACAGGTTTGCTCCTCTCATGGCTCCATCCTCATCCTCACTAAGCACCAACAAGGATTAACACCCAGATGTAGCCGAAAGGTCATCAGTCACCACGGGGACCAGATCTCAATACATCTACCCCTCGCGGCTTTTCAAAACTCGCCCTGCGTCTCAACATGAGATAAATAGATTGTCCCAAAGCCACACCATGGAATGTGCGGCTGCATATCCACTCCTGTCTGGCAGCACCTGTAGCTCCATTGCCACCACACTTCAGTGGATAAAAGGATCCCGATGAGAATATTGAATTGTGACTATTCAACTGTCAGGCGATCCTGTGTTTGCAAACAAAATGGCTTGGTTCCCTGGTGCATTATGGGCGCTGACCCTCGCCCCCCTGACTGCATGCTGAGCTGTTGTTGGAAATAAATTATGAAAGACTGCTTTAACCCCAATAGGTGACCCAGCTGTAAGATCCTGGCTGAGAGTGCTGACTATAGTCTGCAGAGGCTGGCCAGTTCATTTTGAGTCAACAATGAAAGGGCATACACTGGCATACTCGCATGAATAGACACGTCTTTTTATTCTATGAGGAACTGTGTACACAAGCATTGAGTAGGAAGAATTGCTTTATTATTATGTCAAGTCAGTTCATTATCCCATAAAGTTTTATTATACTAGATGTGGCAGACTTGATACAAAGAAGGGATTTGCAATTACATTTCTTTAAATCAGTCCACAAGTAAGTTAGAAAGCAATCATGTAGACATCATTTTCAAGGGCGCTTTGCCAATTTGATTTAATTTACTAAATTCTGTTTATTATAAGAACAAGGTTCTCAATATACGCCTTTTAAACACCAATTTCCAATGATTTCAGACCTAAAATATGAACAAAAAAATGCTCAGAAGACTTAAAATTTGATTTGCTTTTGGCATATGAATATACTCTACGTTTAGGTTTACCTCGAGACACCCTGAGGATGTAGAGTCTTAATCATTAGGCTGTGTCTCTCTCGGCTACACGCTCCTCTTTGATTGATAAACTGTGACCATGAGGTGTTTGTGATGGGTCATTACTCAAGTTGGTGAAGGCTCATTAAAGGAAGGTTGTGCCAGGAGTATGCCAGGAAGCTGGATAGCCAATGGGTATGGTATGTCATGTGTCCTTAGAGATGGTACCTATATAGGCCAGAGTTATAACTGTGACTCTACCATGAAGACCATTAGACTGTGTCAATGTTTGGCAGACCCTTCAGAATAACGTTTTATGAGAAGGGAATAGCCATTGAGATCTTTCCTCCTCAAATATGGCGGTATATGAAGTGGTTAAGTTTGTCAGCTAGATGCCTTGTGAGGCAGTATTGATGGTGAAGGGTTATGGTCAAGGTGTAATGCTGTCTCCAACCGTCTAAATAAAGCTTGTAGTGTCAGTCATGCGGTATGATCCGGAACAAGCTACTAATGGCTTCCCAAGAGCTGTAGAAATAAAGAAGTAGAAAGTAAAGCTTCCTCCTACCTTCACACCCTCCCCCCCCCCCCCAACCCCTGAACTCACTAGAGTGCAGAGCAAAATGATTGGTTGGCGATTACTTTGTCGACTTATTTTTCCTTTAATACTCGGCAGCAAAGCCTAGAAACATTTTTTTTTTTTAACCAAAATGTCAAACTTTTTCTGCAAAGTATTTAATGTACACGTATAAACCTGTATTTAAAAAAATAAAAAAATAAAAATGTTACACAGCTGGTGCGTTGACAGCTGCACACTTTATAGAAATATGAAGTCAGGGTTTTTTTTTTTGTCTTAATACCAATTAGAGATGCAGATCTGACAAGTTACCAGCTCAGCTTTTGGTAAATCTCTTGCTCTGGATGCGCTCTGTCGCTCCTGTGGCATGGAATTTGCACCCAGACAAAACTCCTCATACTGCTGGGCACTTGAAGTAGGGCACAATGTTTTCGATGCCCTGCTTCTCCACGCAACAATAGACTCTTTCTGCCTTGGTTCTGGTAAGCCCTTTGCTAAGAGGCTAAAGTTGGCAGGCCAAACAAAGACAAGTCTTTCTCCCTCTCTGCTTTCACCCGACGCTCCTCTTTTTGCCCATTAAATCTGTTGTCACATTCAACACTGTTGTCTGTCTCACTGTCGTGCTTTTTCTGCATTTGTTTTTCAGTCCCTAGTAATCCAAATGATTGCGTCCACTCCCATCTTTGTCACATTAATTCTTTTATCCCCTTAAAGCTCAAATTGATTTGTGCCTCAGCATCCAGAAATTTTGTTTTGCATGTGTGGATGAAGGCAGGCTGACAGGCGAGTTATTAGTGGCAGAGTTTGAGAAAAGTAAGTGACAGAAGTTTTGCCATCAATGTTTTTTGTAGCATGTTAGGCAAGTTAAGGGTGACGAGCTATAACCTACAGAGGGCCAGCAATTTACTGGTGTATAGTGCAAGCAACATCCACTGATTAGCACTGTATGATAACAATGTTACGTTGCTGACAATCCCATACATCGATTCTACTGGTCCATGATAATTTACCAGTTGTCTTTTTCATGTTGCCAATTCAAGGCGTTATATGTACACACCTGTAACATCTCTTATTAGCTGGTTGGTTTCATATGTAGGCTTTAAAATAACCTCCTTTTAATGTCATTTTTTGACTTCCAAGCTGCAACCTCTGCTGTCTAGAGTCTCACCGCACCGGATTTTGAAACGAGGCTATAGATTGAGGTCGCTGCTCCTCATCTTAACCCTCACTTAATGAAGCGGGGTTGGCATCCTACTGGGATACATACTTAACACACCCTGTAAGCATCTTTAATATTCATGTCCCCTCTCCTCCACAGGGAGCTGACAAAGACCAAAAAGGACCGGATGGCGTCAGTGCCTTTGAAGCTGCAGCTGATAGCGAAGCCATAAAGGCTCTGCTGAAGTGAGACACAGCGGTGTGGGACGTGGCCGGACAGGTGGGTGAACGAACGGACAGATGGATGCAGTGGTCCCTTGACACAAGATGGACTCGCCCCTTTTACCCCAATCAACTTCTGTCGTCACACTGCTTTTGTCTGTTTGTTGGAGGTCATTTCGTCTGTCTGGTGATTTTTTTTTTTTCTTCCTACACCCTGTTTTTTTTTTCTTTTCTTTTCCAGGTTTTTGGGATAGGATGTTTCTCTTCTTTTGGCCTCTGTCTGTAGTCACTTAACAGGCTTGTCAATTATGTCTCCCTTAGGGACCAAACACTGGGGGAGTACTCTCGCACCTGGATCCTAGACCACTGCTCAGACTAGAAAATCACTCTGTAATGTAAAAGCAAAGCTAGCACTTAATTACACATTTGACGTTTGCCGTTCTCTCTTTAAACTGTAAAGAAATGAAAATAGGTAGAAGTGTGTTGACATTTTTTTACAAATTCATTTTAAATATTGTTCAGGCAGGGCTTAATCTCATGAACAGTAATTGCACTGTACTACTATACTAGATAGTTGAAAGGAAAGGTTGTAAAGTTCCACAGAAAACCTTTCATTACGTGTGGCCTCTTCCTCTTACCTTGATTTCTTTTGTAATAGACCAAACTGTCCTTTCAATCCAATCGTGTAATTTTGGAAAAATAAGTGGGTTGAGAGAGGTCCGGAGGTTAGGGTTTTCCTTTTCTACTTGGCATATCACTAACATATCAAAAGGTGTCTTTTAGGGGGGGAAAAGCTATGTTGGTAACGCATTAAAGATGTTCTGTAGACCAATCACCATGCTGGGTAACTAGAAAGACTTGAATGTTGCTATTTAAAAAAAAATATGTTACTGAATCCCTTTTTTGAAGCAATGTTAACATCACAAAATAGAATAAAGAATTTTAGACACATGTTCATTTTGTCATCCCTGGAGCGAGAGTTCAGAGCAAAAAAAACAACAACAACAACAACCCCTTTTTGTTGCATCTTCTGTGTGTATTTTGTAATCGATGGGCTCTAGGGGCTCCGTGATGGATAAATGGGGGTGAGAGTTGGAACTGGATGGTGGGGGCTGCTAGCATTCCCCTTGCCTTGGACGTGGTTAGAAGCCCTGCCTGTTTTGCTGCATGTCAAAATTGCCTCTGCTTTTTTTCGCTATGACATGGTCCGCTGGTCCTCTCTTGGTTGCTTTGAAATTACTACAATGTAATGAACAAACAAAAATACAAATGCTCTTGCTGACTTTGTTGTGACAAAAAGTCTGTAAAAACAAATAAAAATATCTATAAAAACATCTTTTGTCATGTCGACTGCTTTGACAACTACATGAGAAGGTTGGTGCTCAAGCAAAAATAAATGTACAGATTTTTTTAACTATCAAGAAAGTTAAAGTACACAAAAAATACTCAGATACAGTAATGTGAGTAAATGTAATTTGTTACTTTCCATCCCTGGTTAAATCTATGGAAACAAGATCTTGGGATTACCTGCAAGAATCATTAATTTTTTGGAGTGTGTGTGTAGTCTTGTTTTTATGTTGTAATGGGAACCAGATGCAACAACAATACAAGGCTACAGGGACCACTCTCCAAAATATGTAGTGATCCATTAGCATGTTTTCATTTAATATTCTTACTATTTCAATAAGTCTAATTTGTATTCTGAGCACAAATACTGATGTCTGCTTGCTTACCGGTTTGTTATCTCTTACACAGTCAATCATAACAAATGGTGTTGTTTGTTTTTTTGTAAAACTGACAGGCTTGTCAGAAAGTGTAAGCATTGAGGTTTCTTATATTCCCCTGAGTCATAAGTCTTTATTTTAAGAAACTAACTACAAATTGAGTTGTTTGCTCTTGCACTTTTCTCAGCCGTTTATTGATTCTCTATCACATTTGGCTCGTCAAAACTTGTCAAATTCATAATAAAACATTAAAGACTATCCACTCCATCAAAACAGAAATTACAGGGTGTCCTGTGGTTCACTTCAAACACATTTCCCTGTAACTCATCCTGATACATTTTGGACTATCGACTAGAAATCAAAAATGAAGTTTAGATTGCATGCTGCCACATACGTTAGTGTTGATGGACCTGCGAGCGTGTCAACAGCGTAGAAGGAAGTGAGAAAAGTCAAAAAAAGCATGTAAGTCAGAGGTAGCATGCCATGTACTGTGGTCGAGCTGCACCAGGTCTTGTCAAATAAAGGTCTGAGGAGTGTGTGAGTGTTGCACTGCTTAGTTAATCAGACAGACACATGGCTCTCTAGTCCACTTGCCATGTTTGTATACAAAGACAAATCAATTACTGCGATGTGGGCAAACATCTCGATAAAATTACTTTGCCACTATTTGACAGCCCCCGTGTCCCTTATTTCAACCCCTCCCCGAGATTCCCATCTTATTTCTCTGCTCATGTAAATTGCTTTCAAAGTGAACGACTACCGAAACTGATGTCCGCTCTCGGCTGACAGTGACATTCATGGAATATAAAAGACCTAATTTTCCCCCCTTTGTCTTTGTCAAGCAAATAGTCTCTGATGCGGGCAGAAGACAATCTGTGATTCTTGCCGATTAAAGATGTGAAATGAATCATTGGTGATACATTTTCATTTAGCCCTTGACTTGCTTTCCATTTGAGGTTGCCGTGCAGGCTCCCTGGGCAGTTCTCGGGCTTTCCTTACGGCACTAGTCCACCGTGTTTGGTCTGATGTATAACGGATCAAACATCACAGTAGATCAACCAACCATTATGATATATACGTTTCTATTGAAGTTCTAGGGGTCAAATCCTGGAAATTGACATCCAGAAAAAAACCTGCAGAAACCTACTTCCATGAAAGTTTGAACATGCTTCAACATAACACCTGTTGTTGAGGTTTTAATGCAGTATCTCACCACTATCTCATTTTGAATTGTTTGCTTATTTTCTTCCAGCAGTTAATTGATCCTATATCACAAAAGTCAAAACACTGAAAAAATAAAACTTGTTGCAGCAGCTCAGGAACAATTTGAAAATTGCAAATATCCAAAGCATTTTTTGGTATTTCTAAAGTCATCCCCCCTTGTCCGCCAGAAAAACAGAACTGTAAGAATATTTCAGTAGTCACAATGGCATGAGCGTCAGTATTCTGACAAGAAAAGGAAGAGTGTTATAAGAAGCCACGCTTGAATTGAACTCTGCTCCCATCTGCTGTTTTTCAAAGAAAACTGCGGGAACTTATCTGCTGGATCTGAGATTATTTTTTTCCAACCAAAGAACTGTTTTTCTTTAACAGAAAATAACACTTTGTAATTATAAAAATCATTATCCGGAGTCACTTACATGCAGTGCTATCTGCTGGCATAAGCAAGGAATAGAGCTTAATTGATTGCTAAGTGTCTCAACAGTAATTACCAGATGTTGTAATTAGCATGTGTGCCTACATACATGCACAGAGATGTATGCACACACTTAAAAACACACACACACTCTCTTTGTTTCGCTTCTTTTTTCTTTTTTTTTACCCCTCAGTTGCTACCCTGGTGATCAACCAGCTCAAAATGGTGGTTAATGAAGTAGCAAATCCAAATCATTAGCATAATTAATATGGACTCCGGTTGCCTTTTGGGTATCTCTGGCTCTCGCTCTCTTTCCCTCTAATCTATTATTGACTCCTTGTCTTGTGCATTAGTTGAGCTTATGACTGATTTTCAACAAATCTATAACTTATTTGCCCGGTTGTAGTTACGCAGCAATGTGACCTGAAGGGAAGCCAACCATGAAATCAACAATTAAATCCAAGAGGTCCAAGAAATTATAAATGGCTGGACAAATTTAGATTGAACATTTTAATTTAAATGACTTTTCTCTTTTTTTTTTATATCAGACATCGATCAGTTGTGGTGGTGGGCACATACTTGCCACAGGGGACAGAGGGTCATGCCATTACAGTATATGGAAGCTGAGATTGAGTGCACTAGAGTAAATGTGGTATATCATAGCAGACTGAGGCCAAGTACAGTGACAATGGCAAATGCCATGCTTAAGGAAAAATATTGGTCAAATAACAGAAATGCAGCAACTGAGATGTGCAGCAAATAGCCTGGGAAGCTGCATTAATGCGCTGCGAATTCATAAACGATGCATAATCAAAATATACACATATTCAAAAACACCTTCAAGTACTCAAGTGCTGCAGGCCTATAGGGGCGCTCAGTGGAACAGTTTATCAACACAGAATGTGTTTGGGAAGATTGGTAAGTGGAATAGTTTGATGACAGAGAATATCGTTAAAATTGACAGCAACTAGGAGATTAAAAGCGAGTGCGGCCTGGATGCTGACACCAGGACTGAGAGAGCTGAGCCGGGGATCTGTTTGGGTATCCTGGGGATGCCTGGAGCTAGTGCTAGGTGGGCCTTATTTTTAAGGCCCTACACCTTATTTTGTGCACCTTATTTTTATTTTTTATATGTAAATACATGCTGCTGTTTTTATCCTGCACTACAACGGGCCAAATGCAACGAAATTTCGTTCTTATCTGCACTGTAAAGTACAAGTTTGAATGACAATAAAGAAAGTCTAAGTCTAAGTCTAAGTCTAAGTCTAAGTCTAAGTCTAAGTCTAAGTCTAAGTCTAAGTCTAAGTCTAAGTCTAAGTCTAAGTCTAAGTCTAAGTCTAAGTCTAAGTCTAAGTCTAAGTCTAAGTCTCTAACTAAGCTCCGGTCACCTGGTAGAGTCAGCTCATTACACCGCTAGCTGCAGCACAGCTAACGCCATAGCTACGGACCTTGGATGTAACCAATTACAACTCGACTTAGCAGAAGAGCTTTGAACCGTCAGGAGATCCATGCCCAGTCACAAGAAATAGACATACCTTACTATAACAATCTTATTTTTTGACGGATCACGATCTGGGGCTTAAGTCAATGCGGCCAACATTTTCTTTGATGAGGCGGTAAATCTGAATATAACTGTTGCTAAGGGAAAGGCTTCAAAGTTTTACTCTGCAAAACTAAACAGCCTTGTGTTGTTTTTGATTCACCTCTTCACTACCATCAGAAAACCTGATATATGGATTCATTTTTTTAAAGGAGAGAATATGAATCCATCTTCCCATCAGCCCTGTACGGGCTCTCAGCGATCCACAAAAGTCCAAGATTTTGTTATAGCCTCTGCATGGCTACTGCTTCACTGGAAGTGAGCACAAATTGGCTTTAATGCTGCATGGCTATAGGAGCCAACAGTTTGTTTTTATATTTAATAGTGTAGCTTAAGGACACAGGGCGATAGTGGGGGATTGTTAAATAATGGATTAGCAGAGGGGGGAGTGGAGCAGACTTTCTCCTGAATGCATTTATATCTGAGTGTTTTGTATTGCAGGACCGTGTGGCGCTGTACTGTATTGTGAATTAAGCACATTCATGTAACTGCCTGATCAGGCTCTTAAAAATGCACACACACTAACATAGCCAGCTGCCAGTTAATGAGGTGTTTTCAGGTTTTTACCAGTTAGTTCATTAAAATGTACCATGCGTTCCTTCTTACATACACGAGGTGGTTATATACTGGATGAGCAACAGCTGGATGAGTAAAAGCACCCCAAACACGAGGATGTTTATCTTCAAAAGTGCTAAGATTCTAAACCATTGGTGGTTTTTATGTGCATTTCTATTCGGTGCATACAATTATTTATCGAGTCCAATTTTGCATTCTGAGTTTTATTACCATTTCCAACAGCTGCCGAGTAAGTTGTACGGGCCCCTTACTTTCCCCCGACCACTCTTCTATTTGTCTTTGTTGCTGAGGGAAGAAAGATGGAGGGTAGACTGAGCTGGAAACTTAAATCATCATCAGCGCCTCCTGAAGTCCATTGAGCAGCCGTAGAAGGCAGCAGCAAAACATTTAAAAAGCAGGCTGTTGTGCTCTGACATGCTCATAAACACATGCATAAGCGCAAATCTCCAACCGGCTATTT